TTACCGCGCTCGCACAAATTGGCGGCCCCACGCGCGTTTCCCGCGCTCGCACAACTCAGAAGCCCTCCCTTGAAGGCCAACCCAGACATCTCATGCCACTCGCTAGCACCCCCCGCCTTTCCGACGCGCACGTGTCGGCCGTATCGGGGGAATTATAACCCAGTCTCTCTCCAAGACTCGCATCGCAGCATATAGCTGTTCCGACCGAGCTGAGAAGACACAAGAACACCTCTCTCCAGGACTCGCATTGCAGCAATCAGCTGTCCCAACCGGGTTGAGAGGACACACCAACCCCTCTCTCCAAGCCTCGCATTGCAGCATTTAGCTGTACCAACCGAGCTGAGCGAGCAACTCACCACAAGCTCCCTGAGCCTCTGGCTCACTGTCTCAGACGCGCCTCAGAGTGTCTCGATCTCCGGGCCGCCAGGTCAAGCCATCAGCCACAGCATGACGGGACCACACTCTCCGAGCCATGTGAGCGAACTGCCCACTAGGATAGACACGCCACGGAGTGTCTCAATCTCCGGGCTGTCAGGTCAAGCCGTCAGCCACACCATGACGGGACCACACTCGTGTCAACACGCAACAATGACAGGGGGGCAGTCTGGTCAGGATCTTGGGCCCAGATTAGCCACAGCCAGCAGCACAATCCAAATCACTGGCACCATGTCACCATCACAATTTAACGATCCGCAACAAGGATCACAACAATGTACGTCACAACCCGTATCAGTGCAGAGAGACGGTCTATGCAGTACACACAGTCCACACATCGTGATCTCGAGAAAAATCCCATACAATCAACACTTCGTTAACAAATGTGGCACAAGCTATATATTAACAATCACGAACAAAGCTCCATACAAAGCATACATTGTTAACACTCACAAGCAAAGTTTCGCAGTCACACATTGACAACATTCACGAGCGAAGCGCCATACTGTATATCCAAAAACAATCGCGACTCCGCAACGGCAATCAAACAAAGTGTCAACAAATCATTAACCCGGCAATTCACTGGATCTTAACGGAGCCCGAGACCCCCCACATAGCCGAATTAATAATTAACTGGCTCCTTAAGATAACAATCCCGACGCCGTACTTAACACTGTTACAAAGCAGACACACGCACGGGCGCCGCGTCAATCTACCACGCACCCAACCCAACTAACACGCTTCGCAACCCAGCGAGTAAAAAAAACACCTAATCGCAACCCGGCGCACGCAAGATGGGTGAAGTGTGTTTTTAGGGCCGGGTGCATTGTGTCACGACTCGCCTGAGAGGCCGTGAGGAACGGAGGCTGCACTGTGGAACCTGAAGACTCTTGGATGGTGAGCACAGGATGCCACCAAGACGGCCCAAGATCTCCCTCCACAGGCGTTGAGAATGGCGGGAGCGGCGTTTTGGCGGGAACCGCGTCCCGACCGCCCGCCAAGATGGCGGCCGCGCGTGCACCATGCGCGCGCGAATTTCCCGCCCAGGCACCCGCAGCAGCGGCGGCGGCGTCCTCTCTCCTCCAGCTCCGTCGCTCTCTCTCTCGATGGCGGCGAAGCAGCGACGTGATGTGCGTGCTGCTGCCCTGCCTGCAGCGCCATCTCCCTCCTTCACCGAGGCTGCAGAACCCCGGGGCTGCCCCGAAGATGATCGTCTCGCCTCCTCGTCGTGTGAAAGTGAGCAGGTAAGTTGTAGTAATCGTGCACATATTATACTGACTAGGATAACACCTAACGTTATTTATTTTTCCGCAACTTCTGACACCAAATGTAGTGGGTTCGAATTAGGTGCACACACGACTCCTTGGGAGGCAACGCTGATTTATTAGAACGGTAAGTAATATAACACTGCACATAAGGTGGTGACCACCAACCTACTCTAGCTAACACATACTTATCAAATACTCTAGCGTGACCCAGCCAGGTGGCTACTGCCAGGTCCGCTGACTGGAAGCTTGACTCCTCTTGGCGTCTTCACGATGCATCTTCGTTCTTGATACGGGCAGCCTCGAACCTCGTGAGGAGGCTGCTTATATGGGCTTCGGCGTGCCCGGGCCCCACCCCGGCCACGCCTCCCTTCGAGAACCCTCTCGAAGCCCCCCTGCTGTCCACGTGCCCTCCGAGGTGCCCCCTAGGCCCCAGCCCCCACTGGGGTCCAGTCACGTGTCCAGCCGGGGTCACAGAGAGTGCCACGGCCTCACACCACCCTCGTGGCCTCCCGGAGCCCAGAACCGGCCCTGACGTCATTCCCGCCTCCAGCCGGGATGACGTCATGCGTGTGTGTAGACCCGCGTGGTCATGACGCTCCCCCGCACAGTGACGTCACGCTTGTGCGTGTGTACACAGTAGTGATTCTACAATCACTACACAGGGAGAGTTAGCGATAGACAAGTCCCTGTGTGTGAAGAGATAGACGAGTCACTGTGTGTGAGGAGATCGAGATAGAACCACTGTGTGTGCGGTGAGAGAAGAAGAGACTGTGTGTGGAGACAAGGAGTATGAGCAGACGGTGCTGAGGGTAATTCGAGTGTTCGAGTTGGCGGAGCGCGGAGAGGAGAAATTATAAAGTGTGTGTGTGTGGAACGATGGAAATAAAAGTAAGTGGAAGAAAGGCGATTGTCGTCCGAGTGAATCCAAGGCGATACATATGTAAGTCCATACATGTGTGCGTTTCACTCGATATGTGTGTAAGTCAATGCGTGTGTCTGAGTTTCTGTGTGTGTGTAAGTCGATGTGTTTGTGTGAGTCGATATGTGTGTGTGTGTCAGTCCATGTGCATGTGTTAGTCGCTGTGTGTGCATGCCTCCATGTTAGTCAGTGTTAGTCCATTTCTTTGCGTGTCTGTAGGTCCATGTGTGCGTCTTAGTATGTGCTTTATTGACCTGGTCAAGGCCTATGATACCATCAGTAGGCCTGGCCTCTGGGTTGTTCTTCGTGCTTTCCGAGTCCCTGACCCACTGCTCACGATCCTTAAGGACCTTCATGATGGTGAGCGGCCCCGCGTCAAACTACATGGCCGTCAGTCAGAGCCATGCCCTCTACACCTTGGGGTGCGACAGGGATGTCCTCTGGCTCCAACATTATTTTACATATATTTGGACCACGTAGTTCGTTAAGCCTTCAATGGCTGTACCGGAAGAATTCCCGTCTGGTACAGATACAAAGGGGGGCTGATCGATGCCCGGGTGCGGTCAAGGGATGGCTCCCTATTGGTCAAGCACGTACGTATGCCGATCTGCTAATTTATACTCACTCAGAAGAGGAGTTGGACGCGCTGCTGCTGAACCTGGAGCTTGCCACTAAGGTTGAGCCTTACCATCAGCCCCACCAAAACTAAGCAGCTGCCTGGCTATTTTGTACCATCGGCCAATCCACCCCCACAACTTACAATTAGTGATGGGGCAGTTGTGGAGAAAGTGGGGAGTTTCCCATTCCTGGTCAGTGTGCTCATGACCGGCTCCGGTTTCACAGCAGAGTCTCACTCCGAATCAGTCGAGCGGCATTATCTTTTCATTGGCTGCGTTACACTGTGTGGAAGCTACCTGCTCTCTCACTCCGCACGAACCTCCAGGTCTTCTCGCGCACGGTCATTCCCTCCCTTCTCTATGCTTGCGAAACTTGGACCCCCTTAATGGAACATCTTCGCCGGTGAAAAACATTTAGTCTGGCCTGCCTACGATCCATCCTGGGTTTAACTAGGCTGGATTGTGTGCTAAGCTCACAAATCCTTGACAGATCTGGACTAAGTCCCATTGGTGACCTCCCACGGCAGGCAAGCCTGCGTTGCCTGGGCCATGTAGCCCGCATGCCCAGCCACTTCATGCGTGAACAGCTTTTGTTCCGCCGGATCGAGGGGGCTAAACGGCCGCGGCACGGGCTAGAGAAGATGAAGTGATGTGCAACAGGAGGATCTGGAGCTGAGTTGACTTGTCAATGACTGGTACCAGCGGTGTCAAGATCGGCCTCTGTGGAGGAGGCACATGAAGGACGCTACTGGGCAGTTGGAGACAGTCGCCCTCCAACAACAACGGAGGGTGGAGGAGCGACTCTCAGAACAACGAGCGGAGCGCCGGGTGACTAAAGCACAGCAGGTTGGCACAGTAGAGGCCACAGGTGGTGCATCAGCCAGTGATCTCAGTCAGTCGACCCGTGGCACCTGCGTCTGCCCCGTGACCTCCGGCCAGCGGGCGAATGACACTTCACGTGACCACAAGGTGCACATAGCCTGGCACAAGCATCGTCGTGACGTCAACGCCACTTCGTGGCGAATGGCGGTTGTTGTGTGTACGTGTGTGTGTGTGTGCGTGGCTCTAAGTGCGTGTGTGAGTCTATGTACGGCAATGTGTCTATGTGTATGACAGTCCATGTGTGTGTACGTCGATATGTGTCTGTGTACGTCGATATGTGTCTGTGTACGTCCATATGTGTCTGTGTACGTCCATATGTGTGCGCGTCGGTCCATGTGTGTAAGTCCGTGTGTCTTTGTAAGTCCATATGTGTGTGTAGGTCAATACATGTGTCAGTCTATGTATGTGTGTGTTTCTAAAGTCGATGTGTGTGTGCGTGTAAGTCCATGTGTTTCAATGTGTGTGTGGGTACTTACCGCGAGTCATATATAAACGCTAAATATTCCTGGAAGATTAGACGATTTTTTTAAATATAAAAGTTGTTTCCCCCCCCCCCCCCCCCAAGATATGTATTGCATGCTGCACTTCAAGTTGCTCTTACGTTATTTATATTTTAATTTATTTTTAGCGACTCGCTTTTGTCGATTTTGCACTTCTATCGTTGAAATGTTTGTAACTTTACTGACCCGCCCCCTACCGGATATCCGTGAAAAAGAGCTTCATAGCTCATCGGATTCCTCCTCCCCCCTCCTCTTCCTCCCCCACCCTCTCTCCTCCTTTCCCCTCTCTCCTCCTCCCTCCCCACCCTTCCCCTCCCTCCTCCTCCCTACCCCACCCTCCCTCCTCTTCCCTCCCCCTCCCTACCTCCTTCCTCCTCCAGTCGACACAAATATTCTGGTATTTGTACAGAGCGCAGTTTGAGGTGTTGAGCTTGAGCGGCGGACATGGCAGCGGGGTGGCGTTTTCCGCATCTTCTGCTGTGGAGTTTACTCACAGCCCACACGGGTATGTGACTTGCGAATTACGCTTACAAGTTAAACAAACTAAACAAACAAAAAAACATTACTTTCACGCAGTCTCTATAACGCATTGCAATTAGGCATAGCGAGTATACTTATAATTGCAATCAACACGAAAGTATTTTATTAAAGATTAATATTCGTATTTTGTGTAGGTGACGCGCAGATCACGACAACATATTCACGTAAGTTACCTCGTTTTGCTGCAGACGTTCAGCATGTTGGGACATTTACAATAGTGTACTAAATGACGATACGAAATGATCATTCGCTTTTTTGTGTGTCTGCAGGAATCAATACGCTTTGGTTCTTTCGGTAAAGTCTACCTACGTGACTTTACCGAAATAACCAAAGAGTAAGTATATAAGTAACAAAATATCTAAGTTAGACACTGCCTCCTTCCACGTGGCCTTGTGGCAGTGTATGCCTTCAGCAGCATTGGTTCAACATAAGCAAATAACTCTAGGCCGGTTTCAACAATCAGTGTCTCATCAGCAGAGCTGGGCTTCGATTGAACCGATGTCTGGTGCGTATTTACAAGGACCCTGTCTATTGGATACGAGTCCTAGTGTGGTGAAAAACTATGATAGCATCGTTTTGCAGAATGTAAATAGGGTCAGAGATGGGAAGGAGGTATCGTCTGCTTATCTGTTTAGATTTGACAGGTCAATATCCTTGACGGTCATCATATTCCAAATGTGAACCGTATGATGCCCGGATTTTTTTTTATAGAGCATCAATCACAAAACATGGTTCACTGACTTGTACAATATTGAATACAGTTTATTTACTACTATAGTTACTCAAGTATTAATCTTTGGTTCTTTCGGTAAAGTCACGTATAAATAAGAAATAATGGAATAACATAATTTTCTTATTTATACGTGACTTTACCGGAAGAACCAAAGATTATTTCCTGCAGTCACGAAAGCTTCGAACCAAGTTTACTCAAGTATGTCAGTGTGTAAAGTGCGTGACGTCACTCCACGTCGACCAGCCTCCCTCATTAATAATCATGAACAGGTTACATCCTAATTTTGATTTGAAGCTTTCGTGACTGCAGGAATCCATACTTTTTGATTTTTTCGGTAAAGTCACGTAGATAGAAAAATAATATATCACGACGTTTCGATCACAACACAAGCAATCGTCATCAGGTGAGACAACTACAGCAAGAAAAAAACTGCTGAAGTAGGCTATGTTCTGCACATGGACCCGCCCCTCATTAATAATCATGAGCGGGTGACGTCACTTAACATGAAGAACACCCCCCACCATTAATAATAATTGGCAAATAGCGTCACTCCACATGGGGGGGCGAGGTGCCTCCTCCCCCCTCCTCGGCATCAACTTATAACCCTCACTACAAAGGCAGAACCCTCACGTCACGCAATCTCCGTAACGCTATTGAGACATAGAAGTAAAAAGGACATCTTGATTAACAAGGGATTATAACCTTTAAATGAAATAAGTCTGTCACCGCGCCGTTACAAATTGCACACTAATGGATGTAATGAATATGTCGCGGTCTGCTTTTCGCTTGAATCTTTCAGATTTACTGCAATACCACCATCCCTTGGATGCACTGGGCGGAGCCAGTGGGGCGGTGGCACGTGCCTAATTTCGATCGGATCATTGGGGTTTGTTAGTAATAAATTGCATTTTGCAACCCCCACTGCCACTGTGTAGCATATTACGTGCCAGGAACTCTATGCGATGATATGACAATAGGTAACGGCAAAGCAGTTATAAGTGACTCAGAATTGTGCGCAGTTGCGTATACAGTACGACTTCCCTGAAGGCACTCGCCTTCAGCAAGCGCGATGCTGATCACACACGGTTCGAAATCAACTCTCGATCGATGGCTGCATCATCGCCGCACATGCATTGAATAAAAGCAAGGGACAAGTCCTTACTAACAACTCCTATCATTTTTCATTGCTGGAGGGGTTGCCCCCCCTACCTGAAAATAAAATCCTGGCTCCATCATTGCTTGGACAGGCTATAGACTAGTATATAGATACAAAACTTTAAGGGGGGGCAGGATAAGTTTCTGTCGCAAGTGTGTATGAAAATGCATCTGGATAATAGAAAACCTGCGCAAGAGCATTGCAAACACACAAAGAACAGGCTTTACCCTTTCCGGCGATAATGCAACAGGAGGTGTTAAATTAAATAACTACGACGTTCGATTGCAACACAAGCAGTCGTCATCAGGTAGAGAGACAAAACACAGATACGGAGACACACGGTCAGACACACAAGCAGAGAGAGAAAACACAGACACAGAGAAAGACACAACGTAGACACACAGAGACCCAATGCCTATGTGTCGTAGTCTTTAATAGAGAGTGGGGGGGCAGAGAGAGAGGCAGGTCTGCTGGAGCAGAGAAATTAGCATGTCAATGAGTGAGCTGTGTGGAAATCCACCCCGCGGCGGCAGGGGGACAAAGACCCAGCAAGTCTTGTAGAGCCTGGTAAATTTTAGAGAGAGAAATAGGTAGTTTGAGAAAACAAACTTAAACAAAATCTTTGGAAATGTAATGCAATGCAACGCAGAGAGTTGGCTAACACACAGTTAACGCATAGCCTGGTTGATTAACGTTCTCCAAATTTGAACCACCTCTACGGGGAGGATGCACATTTGTTTTCTCTCTCTCTGTGTGTACAACTGTCAGCAGTAGCAGAACACCGTGCCAACAAGGACACTCAATTGATTTGCATACTGTTGAGTTTTGTCCAAAACTAGCTGCTACTGCCCAAGACTAATTAGAGAATCTATCGAATTTGAAATAAATCAAAATAACTTTAACCATTCAGATAGCTACCGCCTTAGTGCTGCGTGGAAGAGAATCATCAAATAATGCATTATTTAAATACTTGCCTACAAAGGGTAGTATACTTCATTAGGGATTAAAGTTGGTAGGACTATTTTAATAACACAATCGACAGGAAGGACAAGTTCAAAGGGCTCGAACAAAAGCACATGCATAATGTACGTTGCCTCAGTAACCCCCCCACCCCCCACATTGTGCAAGGGCGCAGAAGTGTGGTCACCACATCTACGCCTCTATATAAGGAAGGAAACAGTAAGACTTCTCCACAAATTCGGCTGTCGCCTGATGAAGCTAGTTCTAATTGGCAAAACATCGTACTCAGATTGTAAATGTTGTGGCTTGGCTCTCCAACACACCGGTGTGCTGTACTAGTGTAGAGAAGTTCTCAGGATGCACTCGGAGACGACATGAAGGGTTGAGGGCTTTCGCAGTAAGCTCATAGTAATTAACAATACACACGGGGGAACAACTTTCCAGGGGTTAGGGGTCCCAGGCTAGGTCCCACTACTTCCCGACACAGCCGGCTGCCCTCTGCTGCCTCCTCTGCGCCGGCCGTGGGTTCATCCAACACGGCCACTTCCAGCCCTGGTGCTGTGCTCTCCCCTAGTCCTACCCCCTTGCCCCTGGCTCCCCGTTCTACCCTACTCCCACCTTGACTTGACTCCAACTATGTCCCTGTTTATGTCACGGGCTCTCCTTATATATCCCTGCGGGACATGACGACATCACTTCCCGTGACACCATCGCCCCCGGAGGCGAGCGTGACATCATGTCTGTAAACTACTCCTTTACATTACCGCCCCCCCCCCCGCGAAAAGAAACAGCCGACCCGGCTGCAACCATGATGGGATGGAAGCGGGCCCAATTCCGGACCGGATGCCGAACCACTGAACAAAATGTCTGTGCCTGAAGAAAAAACCGGCTGCTAGAATGGAACCCAACGTTAGGGCAGCACGATGCCACAGGCACAACAACCATAACAAGAACAAACAAAAAAAACAGAGGTCCGCAGGCCTCATCCCCGCCCCGGCAGCACCGAACGGGCGCACGGGGCTGGGGCCCCGATGAACGGCCACCAATGCCGTCACCCGGCCGGCCGCTCAGGAGTTGGGGGGTGGATCCCCCAGGGTAGATGGAACATTACGTTTGAGCCGGGACGGGTGCACTATCCACTGCTGGCGACCGAACCAAATCCGGATGCACTGCGGCCGGCGGACCTCCACGGACCCCAACGGGGCCCTGCCAAGGGGTGACGCAATTTGGCAGATGTACTAACAGGGACCTGGGGACAATGCAGACACACTTTTTGGCCTGCTACCCACGACGGGAGGCCAGCTGCCTGGTGTTTGGGCAACCACTTATTAGCTGCTTGCCGGCTGGTGGAATTCTCGGCAGCAGCCTGCCATCCATCGCGCAGTTGGTCCAATAGGGACCGGCACCGCTGACCCCTTCCTGGAGGACCTGACGTCCATATGGACGTGCACCGGAGGCTCCGGCTTCCCTACCGTACATCAAATAAAAAGGCGAAAATCCCGTTGAGGCATAAGGAGCCAACCGATACGCCACCAAGACCCCCGGGACGAACAGGTCCCAGTCTGACTGGGACATGTTCACTGTGGTGGCACGGCATGGACGTAAGGGTGCAGTTCAAGCGCTCTACCATCCCGTCCGATTGGGGGTGGTAGGGCGAGGTGCGGATTTTCTTGGTGCCAAGGAGGTCACACACCTCATTGAGCAACCTAGACAAGAAATTCCGCCCATGGTCAGTTAACAATTGTTCCGGCGCACCCCTTGTCCAACATCAGCAAAGGCCATGCCACAGGCCAAAGTGGTGAGGTACTCAACACCCACCAAGAGGTATTTATGGCCCCATTGGGATGCAGGGAATGGGCCCAAAATGTCGAGCGCCACGAGCTCATTAACGCGAGAAACCTGATGGACTGCAGCATGGCCCGGTCCTGGACAACTGGGGCCTTCCTCCACGCGGAGTCGTGGCAACCCTTTACAAACAGTGCCACGGCACCCTCAACACCCGGCCAATAATAGTCCCGCTTAAGGGTCAATAACGTCTTGTGGTAGCCAAGGTGCATAAGCTTCTCGTGAATGGCTCGGGATAATTTACCACGCAGGCTAGTGGGCACAACCACGCAATAGCATTCCAATTGGGCATCCCAACGCATGAGGAGTCCGTCCTGCAACGCGATCGCTGGGGCAGCTAGACGAAGCTGAACTCCGGGCCTTAGGCCCACGCGGCGTCATAGCTTCAGCATTAGAAGAAATGCTCACATCTGCAAGCTGGGATCATACCTCCCGGGGGAGTCCCAGGCCGAAATCTGCGGGCAGCCACC